CAAATTTTCATAACCAACATATACAACAATACACACCACACTCACACAGCGCAGGGTCTGCGCCCACAGTGCACTGCAGCACTGCGGCGCAGACCATGCCAAACCTATGCTATCGCTCTCTTCCGGGCGTGTTAATTATTTATTTTTATCGAATCAAAGTGAGCTGTGGCTTTTTGCCGGCTGTTTTATTTTCATCGAATCAGAGCGAGCTGTTTGGGCGGGTCCGTAAATAAATTAACGTCCAGATACGCACGCAGACGACCAAACCAGCGTAGTTGTTTATGATATGCGTGGCAGCGAACTTAATATAAAGGATTTAAAAATATATTCGCCTGTGGAGGACGCGGGGATCGATCCCGCAACCTTTGGCATGGGAAGCGAGGGCGCTACCAACTGCGCTACTCTGCCACGGCCTGTGGAGGGGTTACGCTCTGAGCTCTTACACTCTGACATTCAGCCAAAGCCAAGAATGAGTTCTTTTGAATATATGTAAAATATTTTTTTTTTGCCTAAAAAGTGTAAAATTTTGGGAATTTTTTTTCACGAACAATAATTGTCTGGCACAACGAGTCTGTGTGGAAAATGCCAGCTCGATTGGATCACGGGAAGTGGGTTAAAAAACGACCGAAAGATTTGCACGGTCGTAAGCAAGCAAGCGAACTTAATATAAAGGATTTTAAAAAATAGCATATCAATGAGTGGACGACAAACGTGATGCTGCAAGTGCGATGACACGGCAAGCAATCTATTTTGTGTTGTTTAGGTTGTTTTACGTTCTAATAATATTCAAAAATGTGTGGGGGGTGCGGGGGGGGGGGTGGAGACAGCACGGAAACCACCACGAAATCCAGGTGGGATTCTGGAGCGCGATTGTGACGGAGTTACGTGTTGCGTGTCGGGAAGGAGGTTCTAGATTTGAAGCTTTCGTGACTGCAATGATTCATATCCTTAGGTTTTTTCGGTAAAGTCACCGTGTAGGTAAAAACATTAAAAAGTAAAATAAAATAAAAATCACGACGTTTCGGAGGCAACACAAGCATCCGTCTTCAGGTGGAACCGTCACAGCCACGACAGCCGTATCAAGTACATATAGCTGTATCAAATAAATGAGAGATTGCAAGAGCTACCACTCCGTTTATATAACTGTAATAAAAGGACTCAGACACTTCTTGCTGACTCCGTGTCCTTTATTTGGGGTTCGCGTTCTCCTTCCCACACGGCACTCCTCCTGAGACTCTCTCCCTGGCAGCCCCACATCTGCCTTCGCTCCCGTAGCCTTCCACGCTCCTGCAGCTCCGCTGCAGGCTCTTGGTACAGCCCTCTGGCTGCTCCCCCAGCAGCTCCATCTCTGCTCCCTGTTCCTCCGTGCGTGGCGATCTCGCCACCTCCCAATGTCAGCCCTTCGTGGCCTCTATGGCTATCTCGCCATTTCCTACCTCAGCCCTTCGTGGCCTCTGTGGCTATCTCGCCATTTCCTACCTCAGCCCTTCGTGGCCTCTGTGGCTATCTCGCCATTTCCTACCTCAGCCCTTCGTGGCCTCTGTGGCTATCTCGCCACTTCCTACCTCAATCCTCCACTCTCTCTTCCACCCCGCTGGCTGGCGCCGTCATGAGCCCCTCAGCCACCAGGCTGAGGCACGGCGACCACCCAACGTGTTCACCACCCTTCACTCCCCCGACTCCCCAGATAGCTTCCTGTCTCCCCGCTATAACTTCTCCCCCACGTCACCCTGACTCCTCCCTCTCGGATCGTCATATCCGCCCCGCCCATTTACGCCCGCATTACATAACCATTATATATCCGTTTATATAACCATTATATAAACGGAGTGGTAGCTCCTGCAATCTCTCATTCACTTGATACGGCTGTCGTGGCTGTGACGGTTCCACCTGAAGACGGAAGCTTGTGTTGCCTCCGAAACGTCGTGATTTTTATTTTATTTTACTTTTTAATGTTTTTACCTATGTGAAAAAAACCTAAGAATACAGAAAGGGCATCTCGCACCCACAGGCACTGCAGCGTGATGCACCCCAGGTTATGAAGAACAGCCGCTAATTTTTAGAGCCTGAAACCTGCATCAGGATTTGCGTCGTGTTCATAGGTACCGTTTGATTATAATTTTTATCGGGGAGGTTGGGGGGGTAGTGGCAGGCGGTTTGTGTAATAATTTCATAAGCATGCACGCGGTGGCATATTTTGCATCGCTCTCTATCAGTGGCGGCTCCTGCAAAATCTCTCAGGGGGGGCAAATGTCTGGATGATTGATAAGGATAAGGTCCACCGATGCAATGGATAAATTAACAGCTTAAGCATGTAAAGGCAACTTCACTTCTTTAATATTAATGCAAAATAAAGTGACTCTTACAATACATCTTGTTTGTTTCTATACTCACTATTATTACAATCCACTCAAGTTTATTTTATTAAAGATTCCACTAGGTGGCGACAAATTATATTGTTAGATGAAACGTGCTTACGTATGATGACGTAAGCACGTTAGGGCGAGCCCTCCCGGAAGCCGTAGAGAATGCATTGCAGCGCCCGCCGTTCGAAAAAAAACATCTTTGAATGTAAGTCTATGGGAACACTCGGGGCGATTCTCAGCCGGAGTGAAATCGCCCAAAAAGAGGCGGTACTCCACAGAACGTGACATGACGCCGATTGGACTATATCCAGAGGCTGCAGTGACGGCTCGCGTCACTCTGTGGTTGAATGACATTGGTGGTGCGTCGCCCAATCGCCCTAATGAAGAAACCGTCCCTGCTCTCTACATGCCCCCCCCCTCAGCTTTTTTTGACACGGTCGACCACCCCTACTCTTGTCTCTCTCTCCGTCTCGGCATTTTGGGCACCCAACTTTCTTGGCTGCAGTCCCGATCTCTCTCGTGCGCATCTCTGCCGTCTCGTTCGGTCACCGCCACTTCCCCCGCCCCTCCTCCTTGCAGCCCTCTTGACTGTCGCTGTTTCTCCAAGGGGCTCCGCTTGCCCCCCCCCCCCCCCTATTTGTCTCAGCTCTGTTGCTCTTTTAAATCCGTTATATTAAGTTCACTTGCTTGCTTAGGACCGTGCAAATATTTCGGTCGTTTTTTAACCCACTTCCCGTGATCCAATCGAGCTGACATTTTGCACACAGACTCGTTGTGACAGACAATTAATGTTCGTGAAATTTTTTTTTTCCAAAATTTACACTGTTTAGGGAATTTTTTTTATATTTAATTACCAATTGCTTAATACTGGCAGACAATCATCTGACCCATAGGTGGCAGCCATCTCAAGCCAGAGGACGAGAGGACTCTAGCCGCCACGCATATAAAGGATTTAGAGTGAAAAACTTTGTTTCTACGGGTTAATTTTTTTAATCCTTTATATGAAGTTCACTTGCTTGCTTGCGCGCTTACGACCGTACGGGGAGGGTGGGGGGGGTGACGTCATCAGGCACACTGCGTGACGCTGCCGCATGCGGGTGACATCACCGATGTGACGTCACCGATGTGACGTCACTAATGTGACCAAGAAGAAGGCGGTGACGTCACTAATGTGACCAAGAAGAAGGCGGTGACGTCACTAATGTGACGTCACCGCTCACTTGCCGTGCAAAATATATCCATTATTGCGCCCCCCCGCCCCCCCAAAAATACAAAAGTCTATTTTTATACTTTTTGCATTGTGTACAGTCTGGAAGCTATCCACGTGCCAAATGTCAAGTTTGATGCATGTTGGGAAGTATGCTAAACATCTTCTTGGTTCTTTAGGTAAAGTCACGTAGAAGGGAAGTAATAAAATAATAAAAATAAAACATAATAAAATAAAATAATTCTCAGAATTATTTGATTTTATTATGTTTTATTTTTATTATTTTATTATAAAACATAATAAAATCAAATAATTCTGAGAATTATTATTATGTTGCATTTTTATTATTTTATTACTTCGCTTCTACGTGACTTTACCGAAAGAACCAAGATGATGAATCCCTGCAGTCACGAAAAAAGCTTTAAATCGAAGTATGCTAAACATTTCGGACACATTCACAAATTTTCCCTTTTATTTAAAAACATGAATGCAGCGCTCTAGCAAGCATCCACCTGTTGTACACCTTCTTCTTGGTTCTTTCGTTAAAGTCACGTAGAAGGGAAGTAATAAAATAATAAAAATAAAACATAATAAAATAATCTTCTTGGTTCTTTCGTTAAAGTCACGTAGAATGGAAGTAATAAAATAATAAAAATAAAACATAATAAAATAATCTTCTTGGTTCTTTCGTTAAAGTCACGTAGAATGGAAGTAATAAAATAATAAAAATAAAACATAATAAAATAATCTTCTTGGTTCTTTCGTTAAAGTCACGTAGAATGGAAGTAATAAAATAATAAAAATAAAACATAATAAAATAATTATGTTTTATTTTTATTCTACGTGATGACTTTACCGAAAGAACCAAGAAGATGAATCCCTGCAGTCACGAAATAAGCTTTAAATCGAACTGTTCTACACCGTGTCCATGTGTAGTAGTGGCACCGCAGCAGTTACCCTGCAATCTGGTCATTCGTACGGGCTCAGGGTACAAGGGTTAAAGGTCGACTCGTTTGCTTTTGACCTTTAACCTTGCCGAGGGAAAGGGGAGGGGCGTTCAGAGCGGAGGGGGTTGGGGGGTGAATCCACCGGAACCCCGCCCCTCGCCCCGTGACGTCACGGCGCGAGGGGCGGGGCTTTGTGGGGGGTGAATCCACCGGAACCCCGCCCCTCGCCCCGTGACGTCACGGCGCGAGATGAAGAAGCAATGGCGGCCGCGTTGTTGATGTCTCGCTCTGCGCTGTTGTCGTTGTTGCTGTTGTTGTTGATGATGATGATGGAGGTCGCCACGGGCGGTGAGTCGGCGTCTGTCTGGTGACATCTTATTTTTTTTGTGTGACGTGTTTGTTCCGTTGCCAAGTGCACCTAGCCTGGCACGAGCGCTGTTGTTGCTGTTGTTGTTGCTGTTGTTGATGTTGTTGTTGATGATGGAGGTCGCCACGGGCGGTGAGTCGGCGTCTGTCTGGTGACTCGTGACATCTTATTCTTTGTTTTTGTGTGACGTGTTTGTGTGACGTGTTTGTTCCGTTGCCAAGTGCACCTAGCCTGGCACGAGCGCTGTTGGTAACGGTGGTGGGGGGGGGGGCGGTGCGGATCTGTTGTGAGGGGGGTTCGATGTCTCAAAGTGAACCTAGCCTGGCACACGAGCTGCTGCGGTGACGGGGAGCGGTGGTGCAGTGGTTAGCGCCTGGGTATGGGTCTCTGTGTGAGTCTGTGGGTCTCTGTGTGAGTCTGTGAGTCTCTGTGTGAGTCTATGGGTCTCTGTGTGAGTCTGTGGGTCTCTGTGAGTCTGTGGGTCTCTGTGTGAGTCTGTGGGTCTCTGTGTGAGTCTGTGGGTCTCTTTGTGAATATATGGGTCTCTGTGTGAGTATATGGGTCACTGTGTGAGTCTATGGGTCTCTGTGTGAGTCTATGGGTCTCTGTGTGAGTCTGTGGGTCTCTGTGTGAGTCTGTGGGTCTCTGTGTGAGTCTGTGGGTCTCTGTGTGAGTCTGTGGGTCTCTGTGTGAGTCTATGGGTCTCTGTGTGAGTGTGTGGGTCTCTGTGTGAGTCTACGGGTATCTGTGTGAGTCTGTGGGTCTCTATGTGAGTCTATGGGTCTCTGTGTGAGTCTATGGGTCTCTGTGTGAGTATATGGGTCTCTGTGTGAGTCTATGGGTCTCTGTGTGAGTCTATGGGTCTCTGTGTGAGTATGTGGGTCACTGTGTGAGTCTGTGGGTCTCTGTGTGAGTCTATGGGTCTCTGTGTGAGTATATGGGTCACTGTGTGAGTCTGTGGGTCTCTGAGTATATGGGTCACTGTGTGAGTATATGGGTCACTGTGTGAGTATATGGGTCTCTGTGTGAGTCTATGGGTCTCTGTGTGAGTATATGGGTCTCTGTGTGAGTCTGTGGGTATATGTGTGAGTCTGTGGGTCTCTGAGTCTATGGGTCTCTGTGTGAGTATGTGGGTCTCTGTGTGAGTCTATGGGTCTCTGTGTGAGTCTGTGGGTCTCTGTGTGAGTCTATGGGTATCTGTGTGAGTCTGTGGGTCTCTGTGTGAGTCTGTGGGTCTCTGTGTGAGTCTACGGGTCACTGTGTGAGTCTATGCTTCTCTGAGTGAGTCAATGGGTACATGTGTGAGTCTAGGGGTCTCTGTGTGAGTCTGTGGGTCTCTGTGTGAGTTTACGGGTTTCTGTGTGAGTCTACGGGTCACTGTGTGAGTCTATGCTTCTCTGAGTGAGTCAATGGGTACATGTGTGAGTCTAGGGGTCTCTGTGTGAGTCTGTGGGTCTCTGTGTGAGTTTACGGGTCTCTGTGTGAGTCTACGGGTCTCTGTGTGAGTCTATGCTTCTCTGAGTGAGTCTATGGGTACATGTGTGAGTCTAGGGGTCACTGTGTGAGTCTATGCCTCTCTGAGTGAGCCTGTGCGGGTAAATCTACCACAACTCCGACGTGTTTGTGGCGCTAACAGAGAAACACAAAAACATTTACGTGACTCTTGAAGACATTACTTCACAACCGTGTCACCACCACCCCCCCCTCCCCTTGGCAGCCGTCTCGTGGGTAGAGAAAGCGGAGGGCGAGACGGTGCTGCTGGGCTGCACCTGGACGGTCGATCCGGCGCCCACTGAACACCTGGACGTGGAGTGGTTCATGCAGATGCCCACCACCAACATCCATGTGAGTGAGAGAGAGAGAGACAGAGAACCCATCGCACACGCAGAGAATGCGCTGAGCTGCTTGTGTCACTGCTGGATGAAAGCCGCCGCCGCCACCGCCGCCACCACCGCCACCGCTACCATCACCACCGCCGCCACCGCCGCCACCGCCACCACCGCCACCACCACCACCGCCGCCACCACCGCCACCACCACCACCGCCGCCATCACCGCCACCACCGCCACCGCCATCACCACCATCACCGCCACCACCGCCGCCACCACCACCACCACCACCGCCACCGCTGCCCACCGCCGCCACCACCACCGCCGCCACCGCCGCCACCGCCACCACCGCCGCCACCACCACCGCCACCACCACCGCCGCCACCACCACCACCACCACCACCACCGCCGCCATCACCGCCACCACCGTCACCGCCATCACCACCATCACCACCACCACCACCGCCACCACCACCACCACCTCTCTCAATCGTGCAGTGCGACCACAACGACAACAACAACAACGACGACCCGTTCCGCACCTTGACGACACAAAGTCTCGCGGCTCCGTCTCCGCGCTGGACGCGTTCTCTCTCTCTCTCGGACACGTCGTGCAAATCTTTCGGTCGTTTTTTAACCCACTTCCCGTGATCCAATCGAGCTGACATTTTGCTACACAGACTTGTTGTGTGTGACAATTAATTTTCGTGAAAAATGTTTCAAAAATTTTACACTGTTTAGGGAAAACAAATTAAATATTTAATTACCAATTGCTTAATGGTGGCAGACAATCACCTGACCCATAGGTGGCAGCCATCTCAAGCCAGAGGACGAGAGGACTCTAGCCGATGCCACGCATATAAAGGATTTATAGTGAACAACTTTGTGTTTACGGGTTATACTTGTTGTCCGTCCCCCTATCCCCAGTTGGCCACGTACGTCAGGGGCGTGGAGCACGTCTACCCGGAGTACGCGTCCCGCATGCGCTTCGCCCGCAACGTGACGCAGCGGGACGCGTCGCTGAAGATCGTCGGGGTGCAGACGCGAGACTACGGCTTCTACACGTGCAAAGTCAAGTTCGGCGCTTTCATCCAGCAGGTGTCCGTCAAGCTCATCGTGCTGGGTGACGAGCGCACGCACACACACGCACGCACGTACACACGCGCACGCACGTACACACGCGCACGCACGCACGTGCACGCACGTACACGTACACGCACGTACACGCACGCACGTACACGCACGCACGTACACGCACGCGCACCCACGTGCACGCACGCACGCGCACGCACGCACGTACACGCACGTACGTACACGCACGCACGTACACGCACGCACGTACACGCACGCACACACGCGCACGCACGTACACGCACGTACACGCACGCACACGCACGCGCACGCACACGCACGTACACGCACGCACACACGCGCACGCACGTACACGCGCACGCACATGCACGCACGCACGTACACGCACGCACGTGCACGCACGCACGTACACGCACGTACGCGCACGCACGTACACGCACGCACACGCACGTACACGCACGCACACACGCGCACGCACGCACACGCACGCACACGCACGCACGTACACGCACGCGCACGCACGCACACGCACACACGCACACGCACGTGCACGCACGTACACGCACGTACACGCACGCACGCACACGCACGCACGCACACGCACGTACACGCACGCACACGCACGTACACGCACGTGCACGCACGTACACGCACGTACACGCACGTACACGCACGCACGTACACGCACGTACACGTACGCACACGCACGCACGTGCACGCACGTATACGTGCGTGCACGCACGCACGTATACGTGCGTGCACGCACGCACGTACACGCACGTACACGTACGCGCGTACACGCACGTACACGCACGCACGTACACGCACGTACACGCACGCACGTACACGCACGCGCACGTACGTGCACGCACGTACACGCACGCACACGCACGTACACGCACGCACGTACACGCACGTACACGCACGCACGTACACGCACGCACGTACACGCACGTACACGCACGCACGTACACGCACGTACACGCACGCACGTACACGCACGTACACGCACGCACGTACACGCACGCACGTACACGCACGTACACGCACGGCCGTACACGCACGCACGTACACGCACGTACACGCACGCACGTACACGTACGCACGCAGACACACGTGCACGCACGCACGTACACGCACGCATGTATACGCACGCACGTACACGTACGCACGCAGACACACGTGCACGCACGTACACGCACGTACACGCACGCACGTACACGCACGCACGTACACGTACGCACGCAGACACACGTGCACGCACGTACATGCACGCATGTATACGCACGCACGTACACGTACGCACGCACGCACACGCACCTACACGCACGTACACACGCACGCGCACGTACACGCACGTACACGCATGTATACGCACGTACACGCACACGCACGTACACGCACGTACACGCACGTACACGCATGTATACGCACGTACACGTACACGCACGTACACGCACGTACACGCACGTACACGCATGTATACGCACGTACACGCACGTACACGCATGTATACGCACGTACACGTACACGCACGTACACGCACGTACACGCACGCACACGTACGCACACGCACGCACCCGCACGCACACGCACGCACGTACACGCACGCACACGCACGTACACGCACGTGCACGCACGTACACGCACGTACACGCACGTACACGCACGCACGTACACGCACGTACACGTACGCGCGTACACGCACGTACACGCACGCACGTACACACACGTACACGCACGCACGTACACGCACGCGCACGTACGTACACGCACGTACACGCACGCACACGCACGTACACGCACGCACGTACACGCACGTACACGGCACGCACGTACACGCACGTACGTACACGCACGTACACGCACGTACACGCACGCACGTACACGCACGTACACGCACGCACGTACAAGCACGTACACGCACGCACGTACACGCACGCACGTACACGCACGTACACGCACGCACGTACACGCACATACACGCACGCACGTACACGTACGCACGCAGACACACGTGCACGCACGCACGTACCAGCACGCATGTATACGCACGCACGTACACGTACGCACGCAGACACACGTGCCCGCACGTACACGCACGCACGTACACGCACGCACGTACACGTACGCCACGCAGACACACGTGCACGCACGTACATGCACGCATGTATACGCACGCACGTACACGTACGCACGCAGACACACGTGCACGCACGTACATGCACGCATGTATACGCCCGCACGTACACGTACGCACGCACGCACACGCACCTACACGCACGTACACACGCACCCCGCACGTACACGCACGTACACGCATGCCTACGCACGTACACGTACACGCACGTACACGCACGTACACGCACGTACACGCATGTATACGCACGTACACGTACACGCACGTACACGCACGTACACGCACGTACACGCATGTATACGCACGTACACGTACACGCACGTACACGCACGTACACGCACGTACACGCATGTATACGCACGTACACGCACGTACACGCATGTATACGCACGTACACGTACACGCACGCACACGCACGTGCACGCACGTACACGCACGTACACGCACGTACACGCACGCACGTACACGCACGTACACGTACGCACACGCACGCACGTGCACGCACGTATACGTGCGTGCACGCACGCACGTACACGCCACGTACACGCACGCACGTACACGCACGTACACGCACGCACGTACACGCACGCGCACGTACGTGCACGCACGTACACGCACGCACACGCACGTACACGCACGCACGTACACGCACGTACACGCACGCACGTACACGCCGTACACGCACGTACACGCACGCTAACGTACACGCCCAGTACACGCACGTACACGCACGCAGTACACGCACGTACACGCACGCACGTACACGCACGCACGCACACGCACGCACACGCACGCACACGCACGCGCACGCACGCGCACGTGCACGCACGTGCACGCACGTACACGCACGTACACGCACGTACACGCACGCACGTACACGCACGTACACGTACGCACACGCACGCACGTGCACGCACGTATACGTGCGTGCACGCACGCACGTACACGCACGTACACGTACGCGCGTACACGCACGTACACGCACGCACGTACACGCACGTACACGCACGCACGTACACGCACGCGCACGTACGTGCACGCACGTACACGCACGCACACGCACGTACACGCACGCACGTACACGCACGTACACGCACGCACGTACACGCACGCACGTACACGCACGTACACGCACGCACGTACACGCACGACGTACAACGTCACGCACGCACGTACAACGCACGGACACGTACACGCACGCACGTACACGCACGGTACACGGCAACGCACGTACCTACCGTACGCACGCAGACACACGGCACGCACGCACGTACACGCACGCATGTATACGCACGCACGTACACGTACGCACGCAGACACACGTGCACGCACGTACACGCACGCACGTACACGCACGCACGTACACGCACGCACGTACACGTACGCACGCAGACACACGTGCACGCACGTACATGCACGCATGTATACGCACGCACGTACACGTACGCACGCACGCACACGCACCTACACGCACGTACACACGCACGCGCACGTACACGCACGTACACGCATGTATACGCACGTACCCGTACACGCACGTACACGCACGTACACGCACGTACACGCATGTATACGCACGTACACGCACACGCACGTACACGCACGTACACGCACGTACACGCATGTATACGCACGTACACGCACGTACACGCATGTATACGCACGTACACGTACACGCACGTACACGCACGTACACGCACGTACACGCACGCACACGTACGCACACGCACGCACACGCACGCACGTACACGCACGCACACGCACGTACACGCACGTGCACGCACGTACACGCACGTACACGCACGCACGTACACGCACGCGCACGTACGTACACGCACGTACACGCACGCACACGCACGTACACGCACGCACGTACACGCACGTACACGCACGCACGTACACGCACGTACGTACACGCACGTACACGCACGTACACGCACGTACACGCACGTACACGCACGCACGTACACGCACGTACACGCACGCACGTACACGCACGCACGTACACGCACGTACACGCACGCACGTACACGCACATACACGCACGCACGTACACGTACGCACGCAGACACACGTGCACGCACGCACGTACACGCACGCATGTATACGCACGCACGTACACGTACGCACACAGACACACGTGCACGCACGTACCGCACGCACGTACACGCACGCACGTACACGTACGCACGCAGACACACGTGCACGCACGTACATGCACGCATGTATACGCACGCACGTACACGTACGCACGCAGACACACGTGCACGCACGTACATGCACGCATGTATACGCACGCACGTACACGTACGCACGCACGCACACGCACCTACACGCACGTACACACGCACGCGCACGTACACGCACGTACACGCATGTATACGCACGTACACGTACACGCACGTACACGCACGTACACGCATGTATACGCACGTACACGTACACGCACGTACACGCACGTACACGCACGTACACGCATGTATACGCACGTACACGTACACGCACGTACACGCACGTACACGCATGTATATGCACGTACACGCACGTACACGCATGTATACGCACGTACACGTACACGCACGTACACGCACGTACACGCACGTACACGCACGCACGCACGTACACGCACGTACACGCACGCACGTGCACGCACGTACACGCACGTACACGCACGCACGTACACGCACGCACGTGCACGCACGTACACGCCGCACGTACACGTACGCACGCAGACACACGTGCACGCACGCACGTAACGCACGCATGTATACGCACGCACGTACACGTACGCACGCACACGCACGTACACGCACGTACACACGCGCGCGCACGTACACGCACGTACACGCATGTATACGCACGTACACGTACACGCACGTACACGCACGTAC